AATCTCATGAACCTATGAACCAAATGATCCTCATTCAGAGGCAGTCAGTTCCCCATCCTTGGAGGTCTTCAAACAGAGGACAGATAGGCAGTTGTCCAGAGTGTGGTAGGGAGATTCTTGGTCAGTCGAGGGTTGGACTAGAAGGCAGTAGGGGTCCCTCTCAGTCCTCAGTCTCTGGGATTTGGCAAGAGCTGCGTCCTGGGCGAGGGAGCTCAGTGGTGCCCATCCGTGCCCACAGCAGGCTGGTGGTGGGTACTGTGGTGTGAGCTTGTTGGTGGCTGGAGGTGAATGTGGAATTCCTACAGACCTCAGGCCCTCTCCTCCCATCTGCCTTCCTGGGCAGGCCTCTGAGCGCCACAGGCAAGAGCCAAAATTGCCTCTGCCCCGCAATCCCTATGATCTGACTTAAGTGCGGCAGGAGAGCAAATCTCCTGGCATCCAGAGAGCTGCTAACTGTGCTTGCAAAGGAGAGAAAGTGCATTTCCTCCTGCGCCCGGCTGCCGGCCCCAGGCTGGCCCAGGTTTGACTCCCAGCTGGGGCCCCATCCCCCCAATCCCCTGCCTCTAATCTCTTCCCATCAATGTGGCAAAGGGTCTGAGGGTGGCCTCTCTGTCTTGCGGCCCTTTCACACCAGGGTGTTGTCTTTGATCTTAGGGGTGGGCTGGGGAAAGGCCAGGTCGGACAACCACCTTCCTGGGCCCTGGGGCTTTGAAGACTGTCCGGTCCAGGCTGGCCATTCCCAAATGCTGTCCAAGCTGAGGGAGGGCATTAAACGGGGCTGTAAACAGGGAGTTTGGAGCCAGGTTGTGAAGGGCTTTAAATGCCAGAATGAAGGCGTTCTTTGGGTTGGATTCAATACAACCGATTTAATGTTTGCTCTGCCAAAGCGATTTAAGGTGGGAGGCAAGAGTAGGGTGAGGGAGGGAGGGAGGGAGTGATTGATCACATCAGGGCCTGGTCACTTATTACCTGTGTGACTTTAGGCAAATTGCTTCTCTCTGGGCCTCAGTTTCCTCATCTGTAAAACGCAGGGATTGGGCTAGATGGCCTCTCTCGGGTCCCTTTAGGATTCAGTGGTTGGGCCACTCAGACAGTGACATGGGCCAAGGTGGGATTTGAACTCAGCTTTTCTGATTCCTTGCCATGACTCTACACTGCCCTTGGTCTGTGGGGGTCTTGGAGGTGGTCTCACCTAGAAGAGAGTCCTCTGCGTGGTGTCCGGCATTCTTTATTTTTTTTTTTTTACCACTGGATGGCTCTCGTTCTGGCTAGCGCAGGGAGGTCTGCAGTCTTCGTGTACCCATCCAAAGGCATGCTCTCCTGGCATTAAAAACATGATTTCCCCCTTCCACCCTGGAATGCAGAAGGGAGGCCCGTGGGTGCGGCCGATGTATGAGAATGCCTTTCTTGAATTTGAGGGCTGTCAGGGCAGCTGTGGCTGGGCCTCCATCTGAGACGCTCCCCCACTCTTAAGAGCCTAGGGCTTTATCTTTCCACCAAGGAAGGGACATATTAAAAAAGATAACAGCAGCAACCTTTGATAGCAGGCTCCAGAGACAAACAGGAGGACGTGGGGAGAAAGAGGGGAGGAGGAGGAGAAAGAGGAGGAAGAAGAGGAGGAGGAGGGGCAGGAGAGAAAGCACCTTTCTTAAAAGCAGGTAGACCCGTCCCCTGTGCCGGGAGGCCTGAGCCAGCCTTGCTGAGTCCCTGCCTGCGCCCGCCCAGGGGAGCTGAGTCATGGAGAGGGGAGGGCATTGAAGGAGGGGAGAAGCGGGACAGCTCCTTTCACCTGGTCCACCGCTGGCCAGCCCCTTTCAGGCCCCGGGATGTGGACAAACGGTGATGATTACATCTGAATGCTTCTTTCTCTGGTTTTCCTGTCCGGACCCCATGAATGGCTTCTGACTGCGAACTTGGCCGTGGGCAGAGGAGCCTCACAAAAGCGCATTCATGTCAAGCCGGGGTTTGGAGAGAGACTGGGGGTGGGGGGCACTTTGGGCTTGCAAGGGGCGGGCGGGGGCAGCGTTCTTATCATCCCTCGGAAGGAAGCCTGGCCCGCGTTCCACATGCCCGATAGTGATGCTGTCCTGTCTGAACCGCTGCTGAAAAGCCGCCTCCTCAGACCCATCCGTGACCCAGCCTCTCCTCGGTCCCGCTGTCCCTCACGGTGCTCCAGCGAAGCAGGGCTGCCCGCCACTCTCCTGCTCTGGAAGCTTCACTGGCTCACCTTGCCTCAAGGATAACATGCAAACCCAAGCGATCACAGCTTTAAAGCTGGAAGGGGCCTCAGAGGTCAAGACATCATTTTACAGATAAGAAGACCGAGGTCCATAGAGGTCACCGACTCCCACGGTCACAGTTACTCAGTGCTGAGGGGAGATTTCATCTTCCTGACCCTGCCAACTCCCCACCACCTACCATCTGACCTCCCAGCTCCTGCGATGGACACCTCCTAATCTGGTTCCCACTTCTGTTTCCAGACTGATTTCCTCCCCCTGAGAGACTGCACACTCTGGCCCCTCCATTCGAGGCCTCATCTCCAGCCCCCGGGCCTTTGAACAGGTTGTGCCTGTGCCCAGCTGCTTCTCCCTCTCCACCTCCTCCTGTAGGGCCTTTAGGGCTCAGTTCAAATGCCACATTCAAGGGCTTTCTGGCTTGCCCCAAGAGATGGCAATTCCTTCCACAGTCCTGAAATGACTTTTTAAGTATTTTGAATTCACTTATCTATGAACATGTTGTCTCTGCAAGTAGAATGTCCACTCTTTGAGGGCATTTGCTAACCCTGTGACCTTGGGGAAACCCCTTCTCCTCTCTGGGCCTCAGTTTCTTTTTCTGTAAGATGAGAAGGTAGGTCTATGGTCCCTCCTATGGTCCCTCCCAGTTCCAGTCTGTGGTTCTGTCAGTGATCCTCTGATAGGCAGGAAATATAAGGTAGGAGATCTTTCCTTTGGTCTTAAGAGCATAGCCCCCTTGCCTACACCCATGTGGCCCTCATGCAGCCACCCCTGGTGCTGCAGGACAGCCAGAGAGGGATTCTAAGAAAGCAAATGGGCACATGTCTACACTGCCCATGCCCACAAAATATGGAGTGAAGGCATCTGCAGAGATAGGGACCCCCTCGGGGTGGGACCATATCATATGTCATCTTTCATTTGGTCTCCATTATCCCTTCTTTAGAACATACACTCACATGTGCACACACATAAATATATGCATGCACACCCATTCTGAGGCAAAACACCCCGGCCCTGGTCTCTCATAGGACTGACTTCTCTGCTTTTTAATCCCAACAGGCCACTAGGACCGCTGCCCAGGAAGACTCCGTGAGACCAGCGATCCTGAGCATGCTTCTGGGAAGCTCTCAAAGCTCATTTTCTTCTGTCCCTGGACACTGACCCTCCCTCCCAGACAAGACGTTGACTGTGGAGCAAAGTGCTTAGAAGCTCTGGCAGCCCCCCTGCGGCCATCAGGCAGATGAAGGAGCAAGGGGTTCACACTTAACGGATTTCTGGAGGGGGAGCTGGGGATTGGAGGGGAGGAAAAGTCCCCTCCTGCTGATTTGGTAGCCAACCAAGCACGTGTAGATGTGTATTGTGTGTGTGCACATGCCTAGACTGTACCCTGGCTTAAGCTTTGCCAGATTTAAAGGAAGAAAATAGGAAGTCAGCTGTCCTTTGCTTCTGCCAAAGGATTTTCCTTGTTTTTTAAATTCTGTCCTGATTGTTCCCGAAGAGAGAGAGGCTGCCTCAGGCCAGGTCTTTGGGCAAGTCATAAGGAGGGAGAAAAGCTGAGGAGCCAGAGCCCGGGGCTAATCTGTCTCCCCAGTTCTCCACCACTTCCTATTTCAAGTCACCAAGTCACCGCCACATATTAAACGTCTACTGTGTGCTGGGCAGTGTGCAACACGCTGGAGACTAGGCTGAGCTCGGAGCCCAGAAAGATGCTCTCTTAGTCGGTTACTCATGGGCTTCAGCCACCTGCCTAGAGGGGCTGGCCCTTTGCTTTTCCTAGCAGGCCACTGGTCCTAGAGAAGGGATCCTGTATCCCCAGGTGAGATGCTGGGACACACACAGACACACACACACACTGAACATGTCCAAGTCATTTCCCTTCTACTTTCTGTCCCCAGAGAGGAAAACAAGCCCCCGCCTCCCTTTGGAAGGAGCCAGTCGGGCACATCCGTTCCTGGCCTGGGGAGCTCCTCCTCAGCTGCTTGGCTGGAAGGCTTCCCTGCGTGGAGCACCCGTCCTCTCTTGTATGGAAGGAGCAGACGCTGGTTACTTAAGTCTGGGCATCAGGAGACGGTCTAAGGTGGGGCCAGGCAGGGCCTCTGGGGACCCCGGGTGTGTGTCCACTTAGACGCCAACAGAACAGGACTTGGAGAATACGGGCTGCCGGTGGGGGAAGGTGGTTCTGAGTGAGCTGGGACGCTATGGGCTGGCGGCTCTTTCTGGTCGCCAACAGGGCGGGGTTACGATATGGCCACACGAACCTTGGCAGGATTTACGGCGGGGCTCCCACAGTGCGTTCTGCAGCCTGCCTGGGACCGGGCAGCTTTCCGGGCAGCTTCACACATGACTCACGTGGCGATGGATGGGGCTGTTTGAGGAGGGGCCCATGAGCCACGGGGAGGAGGGGGCGCGACCCAGGAACTGGCAGCCACTGAAACAACGTCTACTGTTTTTAATGGTGGGAAATGCAAGGGCAGGTGACATTTGGGTTCTGGTTTGCTGCTGGACATATGCACCATGGAGGAAATCGAACTCGGGCCAGCTCCCACTTACTGGGCACTTCAAATTTCACAATGAGCTTTGCAGGAATAAGTGGGGAGCTGCTTCCACTGGCTCACGGGGTAGTTCTGAAGCCACTCACAAATGAAGATGAAGGAGTGAAGAATTCCTCCCTCTTTCCTTTTCAAATCAACTTTATTAGTGCCCTCGGGTTTTCCATCAGTCATTTTTGGACATGCCCCCCCATCCCGTGCCCTCCCCCCACCACGCCCTCCCTCATGATAAAGGGAAACAAGGCCGGCCCTGGATGCTGGAGCCAGCCCTCTGCCCCAGGAGTCTCCCACCTCTCTGCTAGAGAAGGGGTCCTGTCCACCATCCGTCCTCTGGGATCATTTTATTTCCCACTTGCTCACACTGCTGTGGCCATGGTGGGTGCCGTGGTGGGTGCCCTCCCGGCCACATTCTGCAGCTGATCCAAAGGTGAGAGGGAAGTCTTTAAGAAATCTCCATAGCTCAGCCGGGAAGCTGGAGTCTGCAGCATCCCCAGCCTGACAGGGGCAGTTGTGGCCTCGTGGGAAAAGCGGATGGACCCCAGGCCCCGGAGTCAGCCGTGGGGCCGCAGCCTTCCCCAGGAAGCCCCTTTGTGGGGGACGTGGGGGACGTGGGGGACGTGGTGGACATGGGGGATGGTCTCAGCGCTCCGGGCCCAGAGGCCACAATGGAAATAACTATGAATCAAGAGCCGGTTCTATTGTGTGTGTGTGTGCTGGGGCGGGGAGGGCTGGCACTGCTTGAAGGCCTCTGACACTGAGTCCCCACGAAGGCCAGGGAGAGGCCACAAGACCCCTGCTCCACGCCAGACAACGGCCGCCGCCCGTCTAGGTCCAGGAAGCTGGCTGGTCTCACTGATCGATGCCTAAGGACAGGACCTGTCTTCACTTCCTGTAGGACTGGCAGCCTGGACAGAAGCAAGGAGATGCTCATTGCCAATGCCTGTCCCTCCCTCCCAGACGCCTGCATGTCACCGCCGGTCCCCGGGGCTCCTCCCTGGGGCGGCCGGCAGGCCTCAAGCTGCCCAGGGCTGACCCAATGCTTGCTCAGTTGAACCTAGCTGATGGCCCTTGGGCTCCGTCAGTGGGTCCCACACTCAGCCCTCTCTGTTTCAGTCAGTAACAGCTGGCCGGCGGGATGACCGCTTGAGAGCGGGCACAGCGTGGGAATGAACCATCAAGTCCAACGCCCTCGTTTTACAAAGGAGGAAACTAAGGCTCAAATCAGCGAAGAGGCACGCCTCCAGTGACAAGGGGGGATTTGAACTCGGGTCCCAAGCCCCAGTTCAGCACTCCATTCTCTAGGCCCCACCATCTCTCTGTGTTTGCGAGCGGTACAGCGGCCCACCTTCCACCAGTGACGGGGCCCCCTGGCACCCGCGGGTCCCCTCTGGCTTTCCAGCCCTTTGTGGCGGCTCCACGTGGATGGAGGAGGACCACGGGGCAGAGCTCTGGGGGTGGCCAGGGCAGCCTTACGAGGCCCCGGAGCACCTCCAATCCACGGCTACTCTGGCCTCCTGATTCCGGGATTCTGAGGCGAGGGCCCCGATGTTGGCTATGGAGTGCCCGGCACACGGCGGTTATCAAGAAATGCCTGTTGAGGGGCAGCTAGGTGGTGCAGTGGATAGAGCACCGGCCTTGGAGTCAGGAGGACCTGAATTCAAATCTGGCCTCAGACATATAACACTTACTAGCTGTGTGACCCTGGGCAAGTCACTTGACCCCCAATTGCCTCACCAAAAAACAAAAAGAGAAACAAACAAAAGAAATGCCTGCTGAGACAGGACTCGCTGCACAAACACTTATGAGGCACCGACGGAGGTGCCCCAGACTAGAAGCTCCTGGGGGGCAGGGCTGTGTTTACCACAATGCTGGATGGCCTGGCTCTCCCTGCACACAAGGGGAGTCTAGTAAAAGTCTGCCGAGTAGAAAGAAAGGAACTGAATTAGGGAAGATGGAGAGATGAGAGGGGCCTCCGCGTCCTCCCGTGCTTCCACCCGACCCGGGCAGCGCTGGGTCAGGTATCACTGCTGTCGTCATGTGGTGAATTTTATTACTTGGTGCCTGGCCTGGAAAAGCAAAGGTCCGAGGCTGCTCCGGCCTCCCTTCCTCCCAGAGCTTCCTCTGGGGCTCGGGGCCGTCCCAGGGAACAGAAAGCGGAAGCCAGCGGACGGCGCTCCTGGCTGAAAGGGGGCCAGGACTCTGTCACGGGAAATGCCAGATGTGTGGCCTCAGAGGCTACCCCAGGGCAAAGCCCCCCACCCCCAGCCTGACGGGCAGGGGCTGCCGGCCAGGAGGTTAACACCCAACCACGTGAAGCCTAGGCCGAGGTCACGGCCTCTGTGGCTTGACACACTGTGCTGGCCCAGACACGAGGGGAACACGTGCGCTGGACGTGCCAGCACCAAATAAAAGCCCATTTCCCGGCTGCCTCTCCAGTGCTTCTAACCCTCCATCTCCTTCCTGGTGGCGCTGGGTGCGGAGACAGGAGCCGCTGGGCTCCCCGGCCCTATTTCCGACAAACATCTGGCAGAGACTTCCCATCTCCATGTCTTTCTACTGGCTGTGCCCTCCCACCAGGAACGCCCTCCCTCCTTACTGCTGCCTCTTCCTTCCAGACTCAGCTCAAACACTACCTTCCCAGGGAGGCCCTCCCGGGCCACCCGGCCAGCGTTGCTAAGCCCTAGTCCCTGAGGTCACTTTCCCCTACTGAGTGTTGATACCTATCACTGCACGTGGCTTTTCCTCATCAGAACATAAGCGACTCGAAGGCAGGGCCTGTCTCTTCCCCCAGCCCAGTACACAGTGACGTGCCTTGCAGGCTCCCATCACTGTGTGATGTGGGGAAGGTCCCTGCCCCTCTCCACAAGTGCGTGGGCTGACCTAGGTCCTCTCAAGGCCCCTCCTGCTCTGGTGGGCTGGGACCCGAGGGGCCGTACTGGACCGCAGGGGCAGCTATCACTCACTTTGTCTGCTTCGCATGGAGGAGCCCGTGGAGCTAGGACGGCCGGTCTGCTGGGGCCCCGAGTGAGAGAACTGGGGGGCGATGGCTGGGGCCTTGGTCTTCCGAGGACTCAGGCCTGGCGTCTCGGGGGTGCGGGGGATCCGGGGCTTGCTGGCGAAGCCTGCGGTGAACTCTCTAGAACAACATTGATAATTCCCAGTCAGGGCCGCGGAGGCAGGGAAGGAGAGCACGGAGAGCCATTTCACCCCCCAGGCCTGGCCGGCTAACGTGATCCCCGGTGTCCACCACGGCCAGCGTCCCCGGGGGCTGCTGGGAGAATTCAGTAAGACAGTGTGTCTTCCAGGGTGAACCTGAGTGATCACGGGCCCATGGGAAAAGCCGAGGAAAACTGGGGAGGGGGAGGAGAGTGGGGAGTGGGCAGAAGGCTCCGGACACCAGGGAAGATTGGGGAAAAAGCAAACAACCCTCCAGAGAACGGAAGCTGTCAGGGCAGGGCCTGGCATCAATAAACTCGGGCTGACGAGGTGCACAGACCCCAATTTTCCCAGACTTAAGGCAGGCTCGTAGAGGGAATGAATTTTTCTTCTGCTTTCAGGATCACACAATCGCAGAGGTTAGTGTAGGACGGGCCTTAGGGGTCAGCTCATCCAAGTGATGCAGCTTACAGATGAGGAAACTGAGGCTCAGAAAGGTCCAGGGACTCCCCAACTGCACGAGAGACAGGCTTTTCTCTGTAGGGGCCTCACGCTGGTGCCCTGACCAGGAAGCCAGGGAGCAGAAGGATGGTCCGCTGGGAGGGTGGGCAGCACCTGCCTCAGTCTACCTCCATCAACACAGAGGTGTCTCTGGACCAGAGGCACGCGGCACTGGGGCTGCCTCAATCAGGGGGTCTCTGGAGGGTCGGCTACAGAGGATGCTGGAAGAGGAGGAGGAGGAGGAGGAGGAGGAGGAGGAGGGGCGATCTGGCTAGGGAAGGGCTTGTCCCAGAGGCCCTGGAAAGGGAACGGAGCTGGGGAGCAGAGGCAGAACCGCCCAGAAGCCACAAACGCGGGGGCCGAGGAAGGACGCGTCCTAATAGCACTTTCGTCCTCTGAGGATGTGGGCCTTCAGTAACATGGCTCCTTCCATAACACAGAAGGCGGCCCGGGAGAGTCGGCTGGGAGGCCGGGGGCCTCGGGCAGGGCTCTGCAGCCACGGGCGATAGATGTTTCAGCCACAACGACGTTCCTCATGAGGAAGAGCTCAGGCTGGTGTGCAGAGGGAGCACCGACGTGGACAAAAGTTTGGCTCCCTGCAGCACGTCCCCGGTGCCCCTGACTGGACGGCCAGGTCCAGGAAACGCCCCCGAGCGACGGATGCCCCTCTCCGTCCTTAACTCCCTTGTCATTTCTAAATCATGTGGACGGTCAAGCTCAGAAAGTAGAATTGAACTGAATTCACACGAAAACCTCATGGTGCTGGGGAAAGGGCCTGGGTTCAAATCCTGCCCCAGCTGACTCCCTATGTGACTGACTCCCAGGCCCGCAGTTTTCTCATCTCTGAAATGAGGCGCTTCTAGCGCCGTCTAGGACCCGAGTTACTTCCCTTCTCGGGTCCTCAGTTTCCTCAGCTGGGCCCTTCTGGATCTAGCTCCGATCCTAGGTCTTGCCCTCTGCCCTGGAAGGGTGCATTAAGTCTGAGAAAAAAAAAAAAGTATTGTGGGGGGCGGAGGAAGAGGGGTGAGGGAGGGCAAGAGATGGAGACAGAGAGACAGGAGAGAGATACAGGGATGCACAGAGAGACCAAAAGCAGCCCCGCTTCTTTCCTCTCATACAGCCATCGCGGGAGGTCCCTAAAGGAGGTAACGAATGCCGAGTTGAGCTCTGCAGCCAGGGCCTGTCCAGTCCTGGCTCCGGGTGCCCAGCTCCCAGCTCTGGGAGGCCCAGAGGGATCGGCTTCCTTATCTATCTCAGCCTGGGCTGCCTTGGGACAGCTGCCGGCGGTTTCACCTTGCGGTCCAGGGTGCCCTGGGCTGGCCCATCAGAGGACCTGCTGGGGCTGCCTTGGGGGCGGGGGAATGGACCAGGTGGGGGCGGGGTCCTCTCTCCCCAGGGTAGCTTGGTTCAGCCTCCCCTGGTCCGGGGCAGAGGCTGGGAAACTCCCTGTTGGCATCCAGGCCTGGGCACTCAGCCGGCTGGCCTCTTCTCTGCCTTCAGTCCATCTGACTGCCAGGAATCCCCCCATTCTCAGGCCCCATCCTCGGAGGGGTTCAGTGGACTCCAGCCAGCAACCCAAGCCTTCAGAGCCTTCAAATGCAAATGTGGTCCTGGGTTTATCTGGACTGTCACAATGGGCTTCTGGGAGGGGAGTTCTGCCCAGCTCAGTTTTCCCAGGCTGCCTGTTTGCTTAGCGAGGAGAAGAGGAAATTTAGGGGGATGGGAGAGGGACGGGCAGGGACATGGGAGCTGCCTCCCAGCATGGGAAGGGCTGTACCTCGGGGTGTGGCCCCAGGGAGAAGATGGCAGCAGGGAGTGTAAGGGTCAGGGCAGACTAGGGATGGACACCCCATGGGCATAATCCCTAAACGGGAAGGACGATGGGGGAGCTGCCCCGTGCCGTGTCCGTCCCCAGTCTTGCCCAGACCCTTACACCCCCTGCTGCCAGCTTCTCCTCCGGGCACCGCTGCCAAAGTCTCCCTTCCTCTGGAAGTAGGTCCCTCGTCCTCCAGCCGCTGGTGCCGTCCCCTCCAGTCACCACTGGGCGGCCCTTTCTCTGTCTCTCTGTCTGTCTGTCTCTCTCTCTCCTGTCCTGATTTTACACATTGCTCTGCACACCCCATTCTAGCTGAGATCCTTTGGGGCAGGGACTGTTTCTGGTTTTGCTTGTTCGTTTTATCCCCAACACTTACGCTGGGGCATACAGTCGGTGCTCGATAAATGCTTGTTGCACGGAGGGCTGACGGATCTTTGTGCCGGGCCCCGTGTTTTGCAGTGAGTCCCTGCCCTGGAAGGTCTTACGTTCTAAGAGGAGAAACAAGGAGACACATGCAGCACCGGGGGACCAGGAGAGGCCCAAGAAGGCGAGGAGGGCATTGGGTCCGGGGCCAGAGATGAAAGAGATGTTTCAGCTGGGTGACTGTGGACCTCTCTGGGCCTCAGTTTCCTGCCCCTCCAATGGCCTATTCAAGGGGCGCTACAAACTCTGCTCACTGACGCGACGGCTTGTGTGCCAAGGACTTCCCCTCGGACCCTCAGCCCCCTCCTGCAGGATTAGCAGGCTCTTGGACCAAGGTCATCTCAGCCGCTGCCCACGGCCGGGGGACGGCCTGGCCATCCTGCACTTGGGGAGGCCGGTGCCGGGCACCGTGTGGCCCTGGTCTAGTCTCTCCGATCGACACCGCGAGGCTCTGATGGGCCGCCATGAGCCCCCTGGCTGCGGGAGGGCTCTTCAGGCATCAGGATCTCCATGGAGGCCACTCGTGACTCTGGGCCGAGCAGGAAGGGCCCTCAGAGCCATCCAGGGTAACCCTGGTCTCACAGAGGCCCCGGTCACCCTGGTCATCGGTGTCAGAGGTGACACCCTCCAAGAACGCGCGGTCTTTGCCAGTGTCCGGCTGTCAGACGACGGCCACGCTCCAGAGGAGGTCTGACAGGGCAGAGGAACGGGGCCCCCTGGTCCTGGGAGCTCAGCCTCCCTTCCCCGGCCTGCATCCTGCCACTGACTTAGTGAGCTAGCCGCTATGCCTCTGCACTTCCCTCTTCTTGGGAGGCTGCTTTCTCACACCGGGGCTTAGGCAGGACATTTGCCGCCGCTGAAAGTCATCTTGCTGGAGCGGGTCCGGCGCTCTCCTGGCCTGCCCCGTGCCTCATCCTCTCAGTTTGCTGTCCTCTGCAAATGGGATGAGCCTGCCGTCTGGGCTGGGATCCAAGTCACTGGGAGATGTTAAACATCATTTATCATGGCGACATCAAGCTACCAGCTTCTGGGCCTGGAAATGGGCCCTCCATGGTCTGTCTGCCGCTGACCTCTCCAGCCTCGCCGCCTGACCGCGTCCCGACGCCATTGCACTCACATTGGCCTCTGGCCAAGCTCCAAGGGCTTCCTCCACTCCCTCCTACAAACTGTCCCCGAAGCCTGAATTCACCGCCTTCTCTCCACGTTTCCAGTTCCTTACCTTCCTTCCAGGCTTAGCTCAGGCGCTAAGTTCTCTGCTAAGCCCCGCTACTGTCAGTGCCTTCTCCTTCTTCATACTATCTCGTACCATCTGGGTACATGTTGAATCCTCCGAGTAGAATGGAAGCTCCTTGAGGGGCCAAAGGTGTGAGGATGGGAGACGCGGAGGGGAACAGCGGTGGGGGGTTGGGAGGGCCAGCTGGAGCCACACTGGGGAGCGCCAGGATCCGAAGGGCCTTCGTCATTGGGCAGCCACCGAGGTTCTCTGGGTGACGAGGAGCCAGGCCCCGGGCATGGCTTGGAGGGGAGAGGCCGCAGACAGATGGGCGACGAGGCCGTCCCGTTGTGATCGGCCAGGTAAGGGGAGACAGGGCCAAAGAGGAAACTGAGAAGCAGCAACAAATGTGAGAAGCTGTCAACAAGCATTCACGAAGACCTACTATGTGTCAGGTACTGGGGACGCCGGGAAAGGCAGAACCCTGCTTCTTGGAACGAGCTTCTTCTGGGTTCTACCTGCTATGCCATCTCCTCATGGGGGGAGCAGCTGAAGGACTCACCCAGAGACACAGGGACTTCAGTGGACACGCAGCTTGGCCGTGTGAATTTTGGGGCAGCCAGGGGGCACCATAGTGCACAGAGCACCAGGCCTGGAGTCAGGAAGACTCTTTTCTGTGAGTTCAAATCCAGCTTCAGACACTTCTGAGCTGTGTGACCCCGAGCAAGTCACTTCACCCTGTTTGCCTTGGTTTCCTCATCTGTAAAATGGGTTGGAGAAGGAAACCACTCCAGTATTTCTGCCAAGAAAACTCTAAATGGGGCCACAGAGAGTCTGAAACAACTGAACAACAGCAAATATGAATTTTTACGGGAACGAAGTGGACACACCACGAACCTTCAACTAGAAGCGTGGACGTGGCCCTCTCAGGAGACGCCAATCACGTGCTCAGGCTGGCAGTGCCTCACTGGCACCTGGACCTGGCTGGCTTCTATTAAGGACCACAGAAGAGTGGTACACATGGCTTCTTTTTCTTAAAGCTCACCCTGTGGGAACGTGGTGGGCGTCCCCATCTGGCTGCTCAGAAGCCTCCAGCCTCAGGGTGACGGCCCGCGGTATGCACGCGCACACACACACACACTCATACACACTCACGTCAGGGAAGCAGCTTCTGCCAGCTCCCCCTGTGGCCGGTGGCCTGGATTGGGCAAGGGGGTCCCCGCCGCCTGCGGATGCTTCCTTATCCACGCGGCCTCTAAGGGAACGGACGACGCAGAGACGCGGGGCAGGGTGGCCAAGTGAGGCCAAGCAGGAACGGATGCGGGGCCGCCAGAGGACTTCAGGGGAGCACAGATTGAGAACTTGGAGGAAATGCGGCGCTCAAGCCCAATCATCTCACTCGACAAAGGTGGAAACTGAGGCCGAGAGAGTACTGACAATAAAGAGGGCCTAGAGGGCCGGGAGCTCCTACCTGTTGGGCTGTCTCTCTGCTTGGCCTTGGGCCGGCTCCAGGGCCTGGCCAGGCTCGTCGGCCAAAAGGACACGCTGGCCTTCCCGCTGGGCCACGGCAAACAGCTTGTAGGGGTCTGAGCTGAAGGCTGCAGGGGAAGAGAGGAAACGTTTCAAGGCTAAGTTGGAAGACGATCTTTATTGGCCCGGCCCCAAAGCCAAGAGAAGCAGAGTGCCTCAGACCAGGGTGTCCTTGGACCCCCACCAGCCCAGCGGGGTGCTGTGCGCACAGCCAGCTCCCCTCTTGGCTGAGGGGCCTCTCCTGGCCCCTTCCCCTTCACCCTGTATGTGGCTTCCACATTCATTAGACTGTGAGCTCCCTGAGGGCAGGGACTATCTTCTGCCTTTCTTGGCAGCCCCAGAGCCTCTTAGCACAGTGCCTGGCACACAGGAGGCCTTAATAAATGCTTATTGACTGACTGACACTTGGACACCCAAGCCCAAGGCCCTGGTCACTCTGGGCAGCCATTGGCAATTAATTCATCAATAAACTTTGTCATTATTGATTTTCAATTGATTATTGGTCGGTTGATAGCGGAATGTCTCTCCTGACTAAAGCACCCTGGTTTTACGCTTCCCCTCTCAGAAAAAAAGTCTGAAAACACCCAGACACCTCAGGAGGCCTGAGAGGTTGGTCCCACCCAGCCTGTGAAGGACAGAAGGGCCTCAGCCCAATGTCAGAGCCCCTGGGGAAGCTGGGGGCTGGCCTGAGGTGGCTGTGGGAGTGGATTCCAGTCTGCTCCGGCGGGCACACCCACTGAGGGAGGGTCACTCCCTTTCAGTAGAAGACTTTTGCTCTATCAGGTGCGTCCATACTGGGGATCTTACCAGATGATCTAGCCAGGTGTCTTGACCTTGTGAAGGGAAGATAGGAATCAGTGGTCCCCTGAGGGTCAATTGGCCAACTGAGGCTGGGTCTTCCTCTAGAAGGTGAGAGTCCAATGGGACCTCAGGGTCCATCAGTCCAATCTGCTCCATAGCCAGGTAAGGAGGGCTGAAACCCCCCAAGGAAAGTGACCCAGAAGGAGGCCAGAGGCCTTCAGCATCATCTGGGTCAGTCACTTTCTTCCCAGGCCTGAAGGAGTGACCAGAGTTGTCACCCAGGTCATGGGAAGGGCATCTGGGACCCAGGTAGGGCCCAGGGTTTGATGTGCACATGGGCGGTGGGCGGCCACATTCTTGCTCTTCAGAGATGCATCATTTCCTGGGGATGCTGATCTGGAATGATAAGGACCTCAGAAGGGGGCGCAAAGGAGGAAACAGAAAGCCAAGCTGTGCCCAAAGACCCCCGAATGCCAGTACTGAGATCACCGACACAGGAGCTTCATCCCAACAACCTTGGGAGGGCGGAAGCATTAGCTTGCCTATTTTACAGAGAAAACTGAGGAGCAGGGAGTGGCAGAGAAGGTACTCAGACCTAGGTCTTCTGTCTTTCCCACCACTGGGGCTGGGTTCTAGGGTTCTAGGACCCCCATGGGGGTCTGGGAGCTCAAGTTTTCGTCCAGTTTCACTCTTTTCTCCAATCCTGGACCCTTCCGTGTCCTTCTCAGGAACACCACCAGGGAGGCCTTATCTTCAACATCAAAGAGCCAACTCTGCCTTCTACTCTTCAAGGACACCTCCTCTGGGCTAACTGACCGGCTCACACCCTGGCCTCCAGTCTAAACAGTCTGCCCTAGAATGTGGCCCCGTCACTCGGATCTCACCTCCTTCCACACTTTTAGTCATCTCCTCTATGGACACCTCTATGTGTCTAAATCAACATCTCAACCTCCATCCAACCCGGGCTAACCCACCTCCTACAGGAGAGGGGGCTCTACCTCAAAGCTCTCCCAGCACCCCAAATCAACAGGTCCAGTACTAACTTCCTAGGCTTTTCCCCAAACGGGCTCCTTCTCTATAACTTCCCCAGTTCATTGATAATGATGACCCAACAAGACCCAAGTTCAAATCCTGTCTGAAACTTACTGTGTGACCCTGTGACTCAGTTTCCTCCAAGGTCCCTTTCAGGGCCACATCTAGGATCAGTCCCACGGGCTGAGTCTCAAAGTTCCCTTGATTATTCTCTGCCTTGTCCCCCCGCCCCAAACTCTACCAGCTGGGAAGGCCTGCTGCCTTCCCCCACCCCTGGCCTTTGTCTTCTGACCTGAGAGAGTGCCCACTGGTCGGTCTTGCCCACCTTCAGAGCTGGCCTCAGCTCAGCCCATCTCCTCCTGCCACATGCCCGGCCCCACTGCCCAGATCAGGCTCTCGTCATGCCTTGCTTGGACTCCGCCCATAACCTGCTAATTGGCCTCCCGACGGAATCTCTCCCCTCTCCAACCAGCCTTCACCAATGGATTTTCCTCAAGCAGAGGGCTGAGGAGGCCACTCCCTTACTCAAGAACCTGCAATGGCTTCTCATTATCTCTGGCAAAAAATGCACGCTCCGGTGGCCACTGGAAGCCCTTCACAAGGGGGCTCCAAGCCACCGTTCCAGACCTCTCATGCGACATCTCAGCCCAACTGGCCTCCATGCCTTCCCCCACGCAATGCTCAATCTCACCCCTCCAAGTCTTTCTCACCATGCCTCATCTCTTGGAATCTTTGGGTCCCTTCAAGTGCCATCTTCTACCCAAGTCACCAAGTCAGACAACATTTATTAAGCACTTACTGTGCACAAGGCACTGTGCTAAGTGCTGGGAATATTAAAAAAAAAAAAAAAGGCAAAAACAGTTCTTGCCCCAAGGAACTCACAATCGAATTGGGGGGGGGGGGGCAGATAGCCTTGTCCAGATAAGATCTATGCAAGGTAAACTGAAGGTGCTATCTGAGGGAAAGTAATACCATTACAGGGCCTGAGTAAGCCTTCCTGTAAAAGATGGGATTTTAGCTGGGACTTGAAGGAGGCCAGAAGGCCGGGATGAGGAGGGAGGGCGTTCCAGGCACAGGGAACAGCCAGAGCAAAGATCCGGAGTCAAGAGATGGTGGGTCTTGTTCAAGGACAGCCTGCAAACCAATATAGCACCTACTATGTGCTAGGCACGTGCTAAGTACCTTACAATCAGCATCTCATTTGAACTTCCCAACAACCCTGGGAGATAGGTGCTGTCATTATTTCCATTTTACAGACAGGGAAACTGGGGCAAACAGATTAAATGACTTGTCCAGGGTCACTCAGCTAGTCACTGAGCTAGGTCATTCAGCGTCTAAGGCTGGATTTGAACTCAACTCTCCTGACTCCAGGCCCAGTATTCTAGCCACTGCTCCCAGCTGTCTCAATGGCCAACACTGAGGGCTGGGGCAGACAGGAACACCACTAACTTTTGTTAGACTTGTGAAGCAGTCCAGCCATTCTGGAAAGCAACTTGGAATTCTGCAAAGAAAGTGACCAAATGTCCGTAGCTTAGAGGCAGTGTTTACAGCTGTTTGGAGAGGAATTTGGGAGAGCTCAGGCAGTCCCCACCTTTCTCCACCATCTTGGCTCTGCCCCCTCCCTAGAGTCCCAATTTTCTTGCATCTAGCTTTTCTGTACATATTTTTGGGCATGGTTTCTTCCCTACTATACTGTGCTTTCCTTGAGAACAGGAATGATCTTTTACTTTTCCTTATGTCCCTAGAGACTCCACTGCTGGGCAGAGACACCGAAGAGGTCATTGACCAAAAGAGAAGCTGTGGCCCATGCTGATGAGAGCAAATGAAAGACTGGCCATGGCGGCTGGGGCACAGCTGGCCCCTGGCTCGGCTGCCAATGCCTGGGGTCACAAGATGCTTCCTCACTCTCCCAGCCTCTTGAATTATCTATGGTTCCTTCCAGCTCTAAATGCTGCAGAGATGGATTTTCTGACTGAAGTGATGAAAATGGGGCAGGGCCTAGGAGGAAGGGTGGGAAAGAGACGAGGAGGCCTTTCCAGGTAGGAGCCAAGGCCCTGGGGAAGCAGGAGTTAGGCAATCACGCCAGGGGGCAGGTTGGAATGTGGGAAGGGAAGGGCCACAAAGGTTTCTTCACCCCAAGCGGAAAGCCATTTATTCTACATAGCTGGGGTGGAGTGGGGGGAAATACGAGCGGTGGGCAAAGTCCCAGGAGGGCCGGCTGTGACTCCGGAGAAGGAAGAATTATTCAATAATGGGGTGGCCTGCCTCCGGAGGCCTTAAGGAGGAGCTGGACGGGACACAGGGGATGTCCATTAGGCAGGAGGTTAGATTCCCAGACTTCCAAAGCTTCTGAGATAGATTAATGGAAAGAAAGAAGTTCCAACTTGAATACGTGGGAATTTCTGAAAAGTCCAGCTCACAGTGAGGGGACTGCATGCCTCGTCACCCCAGAGAGGGCAATGTGGGGCACGAGGAGGACTTAATGAGAGAAGTGACATGGAGCAGAGGGTTGGAGGAAGGTCGGGAAGGGGTGAGATGGGAGGCCCGGGGAGTAGCTCAGGCGTGGGAGGAGATGAAGATGAGCATTGAGAAGGATGGGGGGCGTTGCAAGGGTCCCAAGCAAGTCACTCGGCCCCTGGGAGCCTGGAACATCAGAGCGGGAAGAGGGCAAGCTCAGACAAGGGAGCTCACATGACTTGTTTCTTCCCCACAATACAAGATGGGGAAGTCTCTTTTGACAGGAAAAAGCCATTTTAGAAGCATCCAGAACGGGTTACTTGGGGGACCCTCTTCCAAGTCAAAGACCTCAGCTGGTGTTGCCTGACCTGGGGACAAGGGCAGGGGTCACGGGTCATAGGGTAAATGCCAGGCGTCCAAGCGAGGCAAGCTGGCCAGGGAAGGAATGAAGGGCACAGGCCTGGGTCAAGCTGGCGAGGGGGGAGCTGGTTTCACGTAAGGCATGAGGAAATAGGCAGGGAATGGAATTCAGGCCTGTAGTCTGGGAACAGGATCCAGGACAGGCAGGCATGTCCACAGAGCAGTTCAACCAGTTTGTGAGGGCCAATTCCAAGAGAGGAGCCGCTCGCTCTTTGCCCTGGGTTCACGCTTCCTGATGTGGGTGGATAAGGGCTAGCAGGTGTGGGAGCCTTTCAGGGATAGGCAGGGTTCCGTAGCTGCTGGTGGCTGACTGATGGATCTACAGAGCCCTGCCGAGGTCCCCTCTGGACTCCTGCCAGGGACATTCCCATCTGTCTGGGGAGGCCGGGTGGAAGGCCTGCACTGGAGCTGGGCCTCAGGGTCTGTGACTGACCCGCAGCTCTGCCAGGACACAGGCAGTAGGGATACCCCTGAACCTGGCTTCTTCTTGGCCCTCCCTGCACCACTCCTGAAGCAGGCAGCCCAAAGAGGAAATTGTGCCCTGATGGTCGGAGAGTTTGGCCATCCAGTTCAAAGGGCCCTTGGTACCACTGGTCTGGACGGAGGGACGGCTCAGGTGGGTGACCTTCCAGGGACTGCTAGATACGGTCTGCCTTGGCATATGGCAGCCCTGCTTGGAGGGGAGGCCTGCTTCGCTTCTCTAGAACACTTTGTATGAGCTTGGGAGGGAACCCTCGGATCCTGTTAACATCAGTGAGTGCTTTGTACCGGGCTATTTCAGACTCTTTCGGAGGGAGGTCTGTTTGCAATTCCCTGGATGTTGGGATGCATGTCCTAGGATCACTGGAGTTAATCCCCTAGTGATGGTTTTAGGCCAGCTTGACTAAAACTGGTTTTCCCAAAGGCACAATGAGATGATTCATGCATGCCGAGGTGACCAGAAATGACAAAATAGAATGTCACTGAAGTGGGGGAACATGAGCCCGTCACACACTGAAAGATGGTGGGACATCGACGAAGTGGAACAGTAATGATGTAGGTGACTCCCACAAGGTCAGAAGGCAGCCTTCCTCGAGCCTCACTGAAGTTCAGTCCCTGGAGTGGTCTGAAGATGAGGCCTAGTCCGTCCCCCCTTTTCACTCTGTGCTGGTTTAGAGGTCTGTCATCAAGGGATGCAGCCCTCCATCCCTTTTCTTCATGAAGATGAGTGATGCCCTGCTGGGTGAAGTGGGTGAGGCTTCTCTGGAGGGTCTCCTAGTGAGCCTGGGGTGCTGCTGGTCTAGACAGGGCACGCTTGTGCTCTGGACTTGGGGCCTGACAGTTGTCCTTGGGATTGGTGGCAGCTGAGGGGTGGGAGCGAGAGTGCTCCTAAGCTGTCCCGGATGTGACCATGATGCCTCACCCAGGCCCATTTGCCAATCTGCTTCCTAAAGACCACGCCCCGGAGGAGTTCTGGAGCTCTCTGGTTGATCTGTTTCCATTGAGGGGCAGACGTCCTCGCAGCCAGCTGGCTCAAGGCCCAACCATGCTCTTCCATGCCAGCATTTTCTGCTCCAAGAACAGGGGGTGTCCGGGAGGGACCCTCTGGCTCCACTCTCCATCCCTGGGATTTCCCCGACCAAAGCTTCCTTCTCTGGCTACCATGCCCCCATTAGATGACTGTGTTGCTGCTCTCTCTTAGAATATAAGCTCCTTGAGGGCAGGATCTGTCTTGATTTTGCATTTCCAGTGGTCAGTACAGCACTTAGCACATAGTAAGCACTTAATACTTTTCATTCCCTCATTCATTCACGTCCACCCCAGAAAGAGAATATTCCCAGAAGCTGCTGCTGCAACCCAGGATCACTGGGACCCGGGGTTCCTCTTGGCAGGTGACTCCCACCACACTGGGGCTATCTAAGGGCAGGCCTTAGACCAGAAGACCAGACAGGAGCTCTAGCACTGGGTTTATGGGAAAGATTACTGGATATCTTGGAGCTGGGGTTATCTTGAGCTAGAGTTCCACATTGAGGGCAGTAGGGATGAGGGCAAGGAATGTCACTGGGGCACAGTTTGAAGGGGAGGTGGCTACTGGGAATCCTCTTTGCCTCCATGGGGGTGGCCTTGGGCCTCAATAGGATAGGCAATAACCAAGTTCAGGGAGGCCCCTGGCCCTATCACGGCACATGCAGACATAGTCTCCCTGTTAGAGCCTACTAGGAGGAAACTGAGACAGAAGTAAGACTTCCTGGATGCTAGCCTTGGCTGGATGCTCCTATCCCAGGCCTTGGGGCTCTGCTCCCTGTACTGTAAGCAGGGGTGCCGGCCCTGGCAGAACCTTTCATCTGAGCGATGTCTTCACTTGTCTTGGTTCTGGGCCTCTGCCCTGCCTTTACCCAAGGCTGCTTCTGGTCAGGCTCCCAGGAGCCCATCCTTCAAGGGGCTTTTTGGCTAACTTGCTACTGAGGGAGATGCAGAAGATGATTCAAGCCGGACACACACTGGACAGCGGTTGCCTGAACCAACCCCACCCCCATCTGCAACGATTTCGTATTTACTTCTGTGCCTGTGCTGTGTTCCGCAGTCATGGCGGGTGGGGACGGCGTGCTTTTCATCCCATCTCTGAGTGCAGTGCCCGAGGCAGTGAATGGAAGGAGCCATGCCAACCAGCAGGGCGAGGTCTGGGCCCTGACCCCCAGAAAGGACTCTGGCCCTCACTGCAGGGTCCAGGCCCAGATGGGCTAAAGTAATATAGCGCTTCATATTCCTATAGCGCTGCTGAACAGGGTGGGATGCTGCAGCGTTGATGCTGATTGAGCTCAGATGTCGCTAAAACCCTGAGACCATTCAGACCCGCCGCTGGCTCGTCCTCAGCCTCGGCCCGGCTTGTGAACCGGGGCTTTCCGCTGGACTGCAGGACCTGACACGTGTCTCTACCTGCACAGGCCCTGTGCAGAGGAGGCTGGTGAGCCCAGCGCCGGAATTCCTCAGGGCCCTGCCAAAGCACTTGCACCCTCTGCCTTTCTGCTTCTGCCACAGATACGACAACGCTTCTTCTCCATGGCTGGTCAGAGACCTCACTTGGCTCTCCCTGGCAGTGGGTCTGAGAGCTGGCAGACAACCTCGCCTCTCTCTGAACGGAAGCGGTGAGGTATTTGTATGGATGCCCTCCCCAAGCTCTGGGTAATGCCAGGTCCGGGCTCTACATTCCCCACAGGCATCTGCGAGATGGGGACGAACGGGGCAGCCACTGAAGGGAAGGGGGAGGGGTCCCCCGGCGCTGGATGGTTGAGCTGGAGCTGGTGGGACGACAGTGGCGGTCGAGCCCCACTGCCCTCATGTGACAAGCGAGGAAACTGAGGCCCAGAGGGCATCTCCGTCTAGAACTGGAAAGGATCCCAGAGGCGTCCAGTCCAGTCCCTCAATTACAGAGGAGGAAGCTGAGCCTGAGGGAGATAAAGTTGCCCACAGTTACACGGGTAGTCTTGGAGGTGGGATTTGAACCCAAGTCCTCTCGCTCCAAAGCCAGTGCTCTGCACGGTGCCGCATAAACCAGATTCCACTCCACGTTGGATGGTTATTACTCCTAATTAGGGGTTAACACCCGACTCACACCGAGAGGGCTACAAGGCACTTGGCTTACACTCCGTCAGCCAGCGCAAGGGGCAGTGTGGCCCAGAGGAGAGTGCACTGGACTTGGAATCCAGATCTCCCTTCAGACATTTATTAGCTCTGCGATCTGACTCTCTTCCCTGCCTCAGTTACTTAATCTGTAAAATGGGGTTACCAAGCGCGCTGTAAATAGGCATCGCCATTGTCCCCGCAATGCCCCTGCTCGCCCAGGCAGCACGGGTATGATGCCCACTTGGGCCCAGATCAGACAGCTCTCCCAAGGCCCCTCGGCTAACGAGAGTCGGACTCAGGACCTGAGGCTGGGGTGACGAGGTCTGCGGGGCCTGGGATCAGGCTCTGCTATTCCACTCTGAGCTCTTCCAATGGAGGCTCGGAGCTAGAGAGCTCCTTAAAGCTGCGAGGACCAGGGAGCGCCTTCTCCCATCCCTGCAGGTGTAAGCTCGAGGCGCTTCTGGTACCAAGAGGGCACGCAGATGTCTGAGAGGGCCTGAGGCTAGAACTTGGCCTCTCTCACCTCCCCTGTTCCTCCAGTCAATCAGGTCCCGGAGTCAGGAACGAGATTCTTGTCTAGTAAACCTTGGCTACCTCCGTGCACAAGCCCTTTCATTTCCTCTGGAAAATGAAAAGAAAATAGCCTTGCACGGATATGAAAGGCCTGCGGGCACACCCCTGATCCAAAGCATACTTTCTGTGTACAAAGACGAGCCTTTCTCTCGTGGGCAGCCTCCGCTGGGCCGGATGAAAGGATACTTCCAAACCCACTGAAGATGCCCAGAATATTTTATGACTCCACATAATCCAACTGGATGCTCCACATGCACCAAATACCCAAGAAACCCAAATTCTGAGGCCACAGAGACTCCTGGTCTCCATCACTCTTGCCTTCTGATTCCAAAGTCTTCCCTCCCCACTTCTCCCTAAGGCCCAGCAGGACCTAAACTGACCACACTTAACAGACGCTTGCGCGCTGGCGGCCTGCTGGACATTTGCAGAGCACTGTAGGGCTGCACTGACGGTACATCAGGAAAGCGGATGTTTAATCTTCCCCATCCACATGGATGGGATTACTTAGTTCAACTCTCTTATTTTACAGAAAATGAAAGAAAGAAAGAGGTGAAATGAGTGATAGGACGGGGCTGATAACCCGGGTCTCCTGGTTCCCAAGCCAATGCTTTTTCCCTCTCTCATCACATTGCCTTTTGAAAAAACACCCATCAAACTGATTGGAACAGAAATTACATATCAGTCCATCTGTATCCTACAAAGGAGGTACTTAACGTCTATTTCTTGACTGAATGTTTGGGGACTGGCTGGGAGTCAGGATCTGTGAACACCAGGTGCGGACCACCACCTACCCACCCCAAGGAGGCCTACTTGGCCCCACCCTGTCCCCCCATCTTCTCAGAGGCCTTACATGCAAAAGAGGTGCTGGACCGGGTTCCACTGCGGGTAGGGGGCCGAGGGCCTGGCTGGGCCTGGAGCGGGCTGCCTCGAATGGGGCGGGCCACACAGGGAGAAATGCAATCGTTTTCCAGCCTAGAGGAAAACAAACAAACAAACAAACAAACAAACAAACAAACAAACACATAAGCTACAAATACAGCTAGCTGGGAACAGCCAACACTGGCCAACCTGCAGCTCCCTGTGGTGTCACCAAACAAAGGTAAGGTAGGGTGCCTTGAGAGCAGATCTCCATTAAAATCTGGAGCCTCCTGTATTTCGGGGACAGTGCAGATGGACGGTGAGTTGGGCCCAGAGCCAGCCAGGAGGAGGACAGGGGGTTGGATCATCTTCAGGAAACAGCAAAGTGCTCATGGAAACAAAGGCCCACCTTTTCCAGACCAGCATCCTGCTGGTGCCGCTGTGTGAGAGTGGGGCCTGACAACAGTCTCTAGAGAATTAAAAGGGGTCCCAAAACGGCGTCAGCCACAGCACATGGTGGGTGTGAGCATGCTGCAGCAGCTAATTAATTAGGAACTTCAAATTAAAGAAGGAGTCTGCTAAGGAAGGGAAGACGAGCTGGTCACGTGGCGAGGGAGAGGGAAGACAGGGGTGTGGTCACCACGTTGGCAGGGGTGCCAAGCCAGCCTCTACTGGGGTGGCTGGATGCCTTGTGGGGAGCTCGTGAGAGGCTGTGGAGGAGAGTTGCCTAGGGTGGGCAGGCAGGGATGGGCTGAGATCTGCAATGCTGCTCTAACAGAAGTTGTACAAGGCCAGGAGCAGCCCATATGGTCCAGTGGTAGAGAGGCCAAACAAATGGGATGGAATATCATGGTGCCATGATGTATGATAAATATGGAGCTTATAAGGAGCTATGGAGAGAACAGGAGAGAACACAGGAGGAAATCAGCAAAAGTAAAACTGTCTTCACACTGACTCCAACCACACTGAAAAGGGAAAGAAGGGAAAAAGAGGAAGGAAGAAAGAAAGGGAGGGAGGGACGAAGGATGGGAGGAAGGAAGAAAAGAAGGAAGGGAAGAAGAACTAAAAAAGGGAGAGAAGAAAGGAAGGGAGGGAGGGAGGAAGGAAATTAAAGAGTCAAAGATGGTAGGAGTGACACAGGCCTGCAGGAAAAAGAGGAAAGAAGGAAGAAAGGGAGGGAGGGATGAAGGATGGGAGGTAGGAAGAAATGAAGGAAGGGAAGAAGGAAGAAAAAAATTAAAAAGGGAGAGAAGAAAGGGAGGGAGGAAGGAAATTAAAGCATCTAAGATGGCAGGAGTGAGGCAGGCCTGCAGGGAAACACAGAAAAACATTTTATTGGTTTGTTTGCTGTTTCCTATTTCCTTTGGTTCCGCGGTATGAAACGCTAAAGGTTGGGCTGACTGGAGGGACCAGCAGCTGTTGAGCTTGGAGAAGGCTTGGGGGAGGCTGAGAGTGCTGTCCCAGGTATCTGAAGAGCTGCCACATTCAGCACAAGGGCCAGACTGATTCTGTATAGCCCCAGAGGTCAAGAACTAGGAATAATGGGTAGGACCTACAGAGACAGATGCCAGCCCGCTAGAGTGATGAGCTGGCTCATCGAGGAGAAGGGGCCATCTCGGGGAGCCTGGGTTTCCCATCCCTGAAGGTTCTGAAGCTAAGTGATGGGAGGAGAGCCGTTGGCCAGTGCCAGCTGGACTAGGCCACCTGTGAGCTCCCTTCCACTCCAAGCCTGAAGGACGGAATCACACAACCCGTTTAGCATTTCTAGAGTGCTCAGTAAGGACTCAGCCACTTAAGGCAGTATGTGAAAGGTCACAAGAAGTGTGGACGGGGAATCTTGGGTTCCAATCCAGTGTTTACCCTTGACTAGCTGGAGAACCGGGTAAGTCATCTAACCTAAGGCTCAGTTTGCTTCTTTATAAAATGGGGATTAGATAATGTTTGGGAAGATGTCTTGCCAAAGATGATACCAGTCTAGAAAGTGCAGAAGCGACATGTCACCTCAGGCCTTATCACCAACAGATCAGAGGACACACGGGAGGCTGAGAGATCTAGAACTGAAAGGGATGACTGAATTCAGCCCACTTGTTTCACAGACAAAGACGAGGAAGCTTCAGAAAGCCCCCCAACTAGACAGGCAGTGGCAGGCTTGGGAGGGATCAGAACCCAGGGCCTCTGGCTGCCAGTTTCACGTTCTCTCCACTGTCCCAACACGATCTCTCTTAGATCGGAAAAGCCTGGCTCAGTTCTCCCCGTGCCCCCGTCTCCCTGGCCTTGCTTACCTGGGCCCCTTCTCTGAATTAATGCATTACTGAACATCTGCTGGGCACATAAGTCTTAGAGTCAGACACAAAACTAGGTAGAGACATCAACTCTGTCCTGATGACTTCTGAAAAAAGAAAGATTCACCAGACACCCTTCCGGGAAATGGGCCTCAGTGGGTCTCACAGACCCTTGCCTAAAAACCCTGATCTACAGCCAGAAGGGGCCTTAGATGCCATCTGGCTTGACCTCCTCATTATCACAGATGAGGAAACCGAGGCCAAAGAGGAGAAGCACTTTGTCCGAGGTCATGCAGGTAATCAGATGACAGTAATACAACTTTGCTCACTAACAGAAACCTCGCACAAGCGTATGAACTCAGTGGGAGCGCTGGCCTGGAGCCCACAAAGATCTTGCTCTTTAGGTAGAGAATCTGAAGTTTCTATTCCTCTAACTGGGAGAAAGAACTTCCCTTGGAAGGATGGAGAGAATTGGCTGCTAAATTAAAAATAAACACCCCTCGACCCAGCACTGGCGGTTAAAAATGAAGTCACAGTAAGATTCCCTCTGTGCCTCTGGCCTGTCCTCTGCACAGACTGCTCACTTGCTAGGTGAAATGAGCAGGCTGGTTTCTCTGCAGTCAGAAGCAGGGCATAAAGATGCTCTGTGAAAAGCCTGTAATTACCTGGACCAGCACCAGTACAATTCAAAGGGCCGAAGGCCTCCTGGATGCCAGCCCCATCTGAGAGCAGCCATGATGTGTGTCCTCCCACGTGGGCAATGCCTACCATGGAAACGGCAATGTGAGGGTGGGGCTGGGGTCCTGGCTTTCTCCCTGCCTCTTCCTCTAGCCCCGCCTGGTACAAAGGCAAGGCTTGAATCTTCCTGACGCCTGCACCACACGTCTGTCCCCTTCACTGTACCACAAAGGAAGCCCTTGGCTCTGCAGAGGTCTGCTTCTGCAGGCCTCGTGTTTCAAGCCTGGTGGGAGCACCAAGCAGGTCTGGTGTGGGGGGCCAGGGAAGGCAGTGGGACCAGAGGGGAGCCCTAGGATTCATTCAGGATCACATTGGCCAGTATCAGCTCTGCCTGTGGAATCTGACTGACCCACTGGCATGTGGGGAGGAACTGAGGGCAGTGCATAGAGTCACATGCTAGCCAGAGAGGGAGCTGGGATCTGGGGCCAGGGCTTGTACGGCCACGACTCTGGCAGCTGCCTCCCTGTCCGGGGAAACAGGAAGGAAAACAAGGCCCCAGGGCCGGCCCTTTCCCCCTGACACCTCTGGCTGTGTCAGCCCCAGTAACTGCCTTAACGTCCAAAAACGCCCTAAAAAATGACAGTGGCTGAGTGCTTTTCAACACGGATGTTTTATTTGTGATTTCTACTGGCACCTCGCGTTGTGATGATCCAAGCAGGGTGTAAGAAAATGAGATTTGCAACAGCATTGCAGACTTACATGGGGTGCACGTTCTTATGATACCCAGGGGTGACAGGCCTCTGCAGGGGCTCGTCAACGCTCTGCTGGACACCGCTGGGAAGCGCTCTCCTCCTGGCCTTGCCCGAGTTGGTCATTATCTAGGACACAGGAGACACAGTCAGCTTGTGACCGCAGCGGCAATGCCCTCGGGCCCCTGGAACCTTCTCCAGGGGGCGTAAAAAAAAGCAAGCGACTGTTTTCTTCAAGCTTTTCTGTGACTGGCCGGTACTCCAGGCTGGGCCCACTTCCACATCCTGGCCGCCGATTCAGAGAAAGCCACCAAGGTGGGTTCCAAATGACGGCGCAGAGCCTGGCTCCGGGAAGGGTCCCAAGGGAGGAGAAAGGGGCGGCCAGAGGAGACCAGAAGCTAGAAAGGTCAAGGTCCTGGGAAATGGAGGAGCTGTGCAGACTGCCTGTTTCCATCCCTTGGCAGAATGTAAAGTCTTTGGGGGCAGAAGGTTCTCTGTTATCTCAGCATCCTCAGGACCTGGTCCCTCCTCGCAAGGAGCTCAAGGGCTAATGGGACCAAAACGTGTGACAAAGACACGGTGGAGGGAAGGTAATCTCAGATGGCAGAGGAGCCTGAAAGGGCCCTTTCATAAGGGGGGATTTATAAGGAACTGAGTCTCAAAGGAAGCCAGGGAATCCAAGAGGAGGAGGTGAAGAGGGAAGGCATTCCAGGCAGGGGGCACAGCCAGGGCAAAGTCATGGAGGTGGGAGATGGTCATGTGTGGGAACAGAAAGGAGGCCAGTGTCACTGGATTAGAGGGTGCCTAGATGGGGATAAAGAAGTCAGACAAAAGATGGAAGGAGCCCAGGAGACAAGGGCTGTATATTTGATCAGGGAGGTGACAGGTAAACACTGGAGTCTGGTGAGTCAGAGGTGGCGTGAGTGTTAGGAAGATCCCTGTGGCCCCTGAGTGGAGGGGGGAGGGGTGGGAAGGAGGGAGCCCAAACAGCAGGAGGAGGGGCGGGGCCTGCACCAGGTGGGGACCTTGTGTGTGGAGAGGATGTTGACCCTCTCCTGGCTGCTCCAGCTTCTTAGAAAGCCACCCTCGAAAGACCCTCGCTCGACCTTCCCCATTCGCTGCTGTCCCACCTCTTTCCTCCTTGTCCTTCCCAATCGCAGAAGCTGGACAGTAAAGGTGTTAAGAAGAGAGTGAGAGGGGAGAATGTGGAGGTGCCCACGATCGCCAGCTTTCTCAGGCAAAGACAAGGAGGAGAAAGGTGGGGCGGTAGCCACTGGGGAGACCTGGCCGTCTCTCTACGCGGCAGCCGGGAGGCAGGACAACGCAGATCAGGGAGGGAGGGGGACATCCACAAAGGGGAGAGATGGCCCCACTCTTCCCCCCGGGGAGGCATTCCCATTACAGAATGCTTCCCGAGTTTTCCAACACATTCCTCGCAACCCCTGGAAATGACTCACGGACACAAAGATCACCATCCTCATCTTATAAACGAGGACACAGACCCTAAGAAAGGCCGACTGCACGTCCAGAGCCCTCTGCACTCAACCAGCTTTCTTCCCTGACAGGGTTAATACTAACTGACTGGCCAGGGAGGTAACAGGCGCCGTCACTAGAGGCTGGAGGACTATTTGGGGGATGTGCTCTTGAGGTCACTGAGGACATTCTGGATCAGAGCCGGCTTGGATTCGATGTCCTCGGGCGTCCCTCACCCCTCAGGGTGAGCCCTGAGTTACTCAGCCTAGGTCCTCCTGCTGATCAGCAGCACGCAGTTTTGAGATGGGCAACCACAGATGGGGAAGGGACGTGTGATCTTAGCCTCATGAACCCGCTGCTCTGGCCAAAAAAGGATCATTTGAAAAAACCCTCCTGACATGCTGTAGCCCGGGGGAAGGATACTCACGCCCAGGTACTCGGAGGTCAGCAGCTTTTCCCCGGAGAGCTCCCCAAGCTGGGGCTGTATCACTTCATCCTTGTCCAGATCAGACTCCATGGTGTCCTGGTCTTCCTGTTTCAGAGAAACGAGGGATGAGTCCACTGGACACAGAGCAGCCGGGGCGGCTCAGATACATTTACAAAGCAGCCGCTATGTCCACAGCACTGCTCCCAGGGCCATCATCCCTGCCCTCGAAGAGCTTGAGGTCTAAGGGGATGAGGAGGCACAATGCCCACAAGTTTGTTTTTCAGTTGGCATTTGACAGTCATTAAGCACCAAGACCTTGTGGTGCAAATGCTTCCTAAAACCTCCAAGCTGCCTAGGAGATTTTAGCTGGGAAACAGCAGACGGATGCCCAGAGACCCAGATCTCCTTGCCTTCTCTCTCACTAAGTGTCTCCATGAAGCTGGGAGGAGGGAGGAGCGAAAGAAGGGATTTCCACTAACTAAATCTCTCTTCACATTAAAGACCCAGAGTCCTGGAGGCCTGGCTCGCCTCTCAATGGCCCCAGTGGTACAAGACAAACCAGACCACCCTCAAAGGCTTCAGATCCGATTCTCTGAGCCTGGGGCCCCAGTCTCATTCCCAGAATCCCTTCCACAAAGCCTCACAGGGCGCTCTCACTGGTTTGGGCTGGGCTCTGTGCTCTGTGGTTCCTGCCTGCCACGAGCTCACCATCTGGTGCACCTGTGGCCGGCACATGACGTGGCCTTGGTCCACCGAGGATGCTTTTGTTTTCAGAGACTCAAAGTGAACTCTGGCTGAGAGGCCTGTGATGTCCTAGAGAGAACCCCGAGAGGCCGGTGCTGGAGCCGAAGGGGCCGCCTCAGACTGGCCCTGGGGAAGGCCCTCTTCTGGAGGACGAAGTGGGTGGGTTTTCTCAGGCCCTTTCCAGCTCTTCAATCTATGACCTTGCCAGGAAGAGTGACATGGTGTCCTGGTCTTCCAACAAGGTTGACCTAGCGTCCTCCTTTTCTGCCCTTCTTGGCATTCTCATTGGAAGGGCTGAAGTCGGAGAGACAAGTCCTAGACCAAGGCCTGGCTCTTCCTCTCACTGCCCGTGTGACCTTGGACAAGTCAGGACCCAGGCTTCCTGACCTCCCTGGGCCTCAGCTCCCTCCTCCGCCTGCATTCTCACCTCTAACTCTGGGCCAACGAGTCGACAAACATTTATCAAGCGCCTATTATGCTCCAGTATCTGCTGAGCTCTGGGGATACAAGAAAGGCAAAAAAACAACCCTGCTCTCCTGGAGACAACGTGCAAACAAGTTTGAAGAACAGTGACCAGTCTCGCCTCCCCTCCAATGCCAGGGAGTCCCTGGGGGCCACCTGCTCCAGTCCCAACAGAACAGATGTCCCCCACTGGAGGAGCCCAAGCACCCAAGGCACACTTAACCTCTTAACAGTCAGATTAACTTTACAAAGGAATAGTTACTTCAAAGGTATGGCAAGAACAAACACACAAACATTCTCCTGCCCCCAATCCCCCAGGTGTCTATGGAGTTGCCCACATCAACAGAGCAGTGGCCCTAATCCTCCCAAATCAGCAAACATTCATTCAGCAGGAGGCCTGGTGCCAAGCCCCAGTGCTCAGGGCACTCTAAGGAGGGTCTTTGCCCTGAGGGGCTTCACTGCTAGGCCCTGCTCCCTGGCATCTGGGGCCGCTGGCTGGTTGGCAAAGGAGGGCAATGTTTTGGGGTGGGAACTTCTCCCCTTCCCACAAAAGTGCTTCTGAGTGAAAGGCAGGCCTGCCCAACCCCCCTCCAGCCCTCTTTCATGGGACTGCCCTGCAGCTAATCCCTGCTCCAGTCAGAAGGGACCAGGCTGAGCCCTGGGAATGAGCCCCACCTTTTCCCTCCTTGGAGCTCTTGCTCATGTGCCATTATGCCAGGGATGAGTCTTCTTCTTCTTTCTTCTCCTCCTCCTTTTCTCCTTTCCTTCTTCTTTTCCTTCTCTTCTTCCTTCTTTTTCTTCTCCTTTTTTCTTCTTTTTAATAGTATTTTATTTTTTCCCAATTACATGTAATGACAATTTTTAATATTCATTTTTGAAATTTTTTGAGCTCCAAATTTTCTCCCTCCCTCTCTCCCCCAAGACATTAAGCAATTTGATATAAGTTACATATGTGCAATCATGTAAAACATATTTCCATATCAGTCGTGTTGTGAAAGAAGAAACAGAACAAAAAGAAAAAATAAGGTGAAAACAGCACGCTTTGATCTGCATTTTTTGTTTTGTTTTGTTTTGTTTTTTGGCTAGGCAGTGGGGTTAAGTGACTTGCCCAGAGTCACACAGCTAGTAAGTGTGATGTGTCTGAGGCCGGATTTGAACCCAGGTCCTCCTGAATCCAGGGCCAGTGCTCTATCCACTCTGCCACCTAGCTGCCCCATGATCTGCATTTTTCATCATGAGTCCTTTGGAATTGTCTTGGATCATTGTATTGCTGAAAAGAGCTGAGTCATTCACCAGTCATAAGACGATCATCATAAGACGTTGCTGTGACGGTGTGCAATGCTCTCCTGATTTCACTTTGCATCAGTTCAGATAAGTCTTCCTGGGTTTTTCTGAGAGTGTCCTGCTCGGCATCTCTTGCAGCACGATACTGTTCCATCATAATCATATCCACAACTTGGTCGGCCACCCCCTAATTGCTGGTATCTGGAATGCCCTTGCTCCTGTGAAATCCCACCTCTCTTTTTGAAGCCCCAATTCAAGTCCTCTTGATAGATTTCCGGATCCCCCCAGGGCCCGTCTCCCTCAGGCCTAACCATTGGACCGTGGAGTATTGTGTGTTATAATTATCCGTGGCTGTGTCCTTGCCTCCTATGCACAGGTAAACACCACAGGCATAGGCCCATGCCTCCTCTCAGCTTTTGTCTACTCCCAGGCCTAATTCGGACAGAGACACTGGTCTAATATTCATCAATTCCACACTGCTGACACTAATTTTCATAATGCCAGAAAGCGGTGTCTCCCTACAACTTCACTCAATATTTCAGACTTTAGCCTGAGGCCCCCTAATTCAGAGCCACATGAACCACTGTAAAGGAAATGCGGGGTCATCCTGGGGACAGAAAGTGCTACTGAGTTGGCTGAGGTTAATCTATGAAGCAGCCCCCAATGTGATGGGAGGCCCACCTTGAACTGCCCTTTAGAAGAAGAGGTCACGGGTAGTGAGCATTGCTGAGGAGCAGCTCCAGAGAGAAGGGGAGCTGGGTTTCATCCCCTCATCCATGTTTCCGGAGGAAAAAGAGCAAAAAAGGGCTGAGCAATGAATAACGGCCCATAAAGATGAAACAAAAATACGCCTTCTTGTTTAGGTTCAGTGTGGAATGTTTTCTGATGACATCCACATTCCATCTCACAGACAAACCAACCAGAGCCCCTGAATGTGGCCCACGTGGCAGGCGAGCTACGCAGGAGGCCCTTCCTGGAAGGGAAGGTGCCTTCTTCCTCTCTTTGTCTCCCCCACACAGAGACTCACACTCACTCCAGTGATTTCTCAGTGTATGCCTTTCAGTTTTTTACTTTCCAAGAGACCTCAGTTCAGGGGTATGGCCAATGTCAAAGCAGATTTATTGGTTTCCTCTACATGCCATGAGACAAGGCTAATGAATTAGTCTTACATGCTTTTAAAAATGATGTTTGAGAGGAACCCAGTGACCCAAGAAGAATCAAAATGTCGAGCGTGGAAGGACAGCAGGCAGCTGCATGGTGGACGTAAGGAGGCCACAGACCCTCACCAATGAAGACTTCTATTTGAGAAGTGGTGTAACAGCCATCACCAAGGACAGACATGCCTGGAAATAGAGATGGGCCAGCCATGCAGTGAGGACAGGACCGACAGCTGGACGCCCAAGGGCTGCCCTGCCTGGGGCCCCATTCCTGCCAGTAGAGGCCTCCAGCAACTTGGGTCCATCTACTAGGGAGGATTTCTGAGAAGACCCGGACAACAATCCCACAGGATGAGAAAGTGCTGTGATCTGCACCAGCGAAGGGATGGCCCGTACAGAGAGAACACAGATCCACCGACGTACTTACGTCATTTCACTATTTAAGAACATTAGCCCAGTAACGTTTTCTAAATTACCTTATTTTTAACTTAATGTTTTCACGATATTTTGAAATTAACTTCATTAATCAAGGTACACTTGCCAGTAGACTAGTTTCCACATTTGGACCTTATCATACATTTATAAAGAAAGTGGGATGTGGGGCTGAGAATTAGGTGTTGAATGTCAGGGTCCTACCCCCACACCTTGAACCCCTGGCCACAGGGAAAGCTGCTCCCTATGTTTTAATTCTTTACTCACTAAATGCCAGTGAATACTCGTGGCCTGTTAAGGGACGCAGGAAACATAAATTACTATTAATTCGAAGTGTCTTGGTTGTCAAAGGCCAGAAGACCTGAATTCTAATCTCAGTTCGGGTGGAAAAGTCATCCAAGCTGGGAATAGAAGCTCCCTCTCTCCTTCTGCCAAGGTGAGGGGGTGGTGGTTCACTCCCTAGCTTACACAGATAACATGAGAATGACTGATTATTCTCTTAAATTTTTGGATCTTTGAAAAACAAAGACTTGGAAGAGGTACAAGCAGTGGGGTGACAGAGAGTACAGGGGCCTTGGAACCAGAAGCCTTAGCTCCCCCTCCTCATTCTGCCACTCACCAGCTCTGTGACTGTTGCAAGGCACTGTACTGGGCACTGGTAATACGGAAACACAAGCAAGGTAGTCCCTGTCCTCAGGGAACTTGCACTCTACTGGGGTGAGCCAATATACACACTTCTAAGTAAATACATACTCTATTAAAATAATACCAATCAATTTCAAGAGAACATTAACAACAGGTGGGATCAGTTTGCTCGTCTGTATAACAGGACTAATATCTTCACTAAGAGCATTGTGCCATGGGTACTACATGACAAAGTGCTTTGTAAACTATGCTTATAGTTATTAACATCATCATCATCATCATCATCATCATCGAAATCCTTGGAAACAACTCTTATCAGGAACAAGCAAATGGAATCACTCTTAAGATTCATGAAATGCAAAGAGAAGACAACATCAGTTG